GTATCGCTGGCCGACGGTTTAGCACAGAGACTCTTTGTTTTTCATCTTGACTCTTCATCGTACCTCACACGTGCCTCGCTGTTGTTAGACTGTCCTTTTGTTCTCGCCTTCCTCTACTTTTCGGTCTTGCGCAGGCGCGCTAATACTCTAGCACATATCGTCAATATCGGAAACGCACGAACTAAATAAGAATTCGTAAACACAGTATGTCCTTTTCCTACACTCGGCCATTCTGCACAATCGTGCGTCCCGCACGACGCTAGCTGTTAGCTTGACATTACATCTTACAGAATATAATTATCGACTTATACTTAACGTCTTACAAGAATAATATTGACCGATAATCAACGTCTTACAAACAGGATTGTTGCCCTTCACCTAACATTACGCCTTACAGAATAATATTGCCGCCTTATGATTAACGCCTTACAAAAATAATATCGTCGACTTATAACTAACATCTTACAAACAAAATTGTTCCCCTTAACCTAACATTACGTCTCATAAAATGATATTGGTCACATTCAATTAACTGTATTCCAGGTAATATATTCAGCGCAAGTCCAAGTACTTACAGGTCCTTCGTGAACTCCGCTTTTAACATATGTGTCGTTAGGCTTAACCTTCTCAATTATGTATGATCCTAAATATTTCGCGCGTAATTTTCGGCCTGAACCTAATTGTGTTCGCTTGATCGCTACTACGTCTCCTACCTGGTATTCTGTAGCCTTCTTACGTCTGAGGTTATATGTTTTACAATTCTCCGATTGCACTTTCAGAATTTGCTCTTTCGCTCTAGCTCTAATTTCGTTACGCTCTTCCTCAAATTTCGATCGAAATTCTTGTTCTATTACTTCGCGTAGTTTCAGATCGGTTTCGTCGCGCATTTTTACGCCGAATGGTAAGTCAAAAGGCGTCGCATTTACACTACGATTGAACGTGGAATTTAATATACGTTGCAATTTATCTACATGTTTGTGCCATTTAGCAGGTTCCTCGATTGATAACTTGGAAAGTATCGATACGTTCGCCCTATTCAAACGTTTCACTTGTCCGTTTGCCCTTGACAATCCCGTGGTAGTTGTCACGTTCAATTCCTTCATTCTGACAATACTCCTTGAACTCTTGGGAGGTGAAAACTGTGCCTCTATCCGTCACAATTTGTTTTGGACTTCCGAATATTTGTTTTTGAACATCTAACCAACTCGTGACCTCGCGAGTTGTGGTAGATTTAGTCGGATACAACCATATAAATTTAATAAAACTATCAATAATAGCGAGAATATAATTGTAGTTTTTATTAGTGGTATCTAACGGCCCTAAATAATCGGCATGATATGTGTGTAACGGCACATCAGGCTTGGAAATGGGATGCAGATATCCTTCTTGCCTACCTTCTTTGCGATTTGTCAATATACACTGCACGCAACTGGCAATGTGT